ACTGAACACAAACAAAGAACAGGGGATAAGCAGACCCCTCTTTTTACCCTCTGACACTAGCCCTTCAACTCCTCTGAAATCGCCCACACAAATAGTGCTTTAATAAACATATTGCCGACCTCTAGCACTCTCAAGGCATTTCTCACATGCCCCACCTGTTGAGACCAAGCTTCTTATGGTGATCCACATCATAGATAAGGAACCTACAACTCTCTGAAGAGCTGTTTTGTCGCTCATCCAGAAGGTTGAGTGTTAACTCCGTTTTCTGCCCCCAAACATCCAGTCTTCTACTTCTTCTGCTAACCTCTCTTCTTATTCACTTCTTTCATCTTAAGGCTCTAAACTTACAGGAAGGAAACGAGCTTTTTTACTTACAGGTGTTCTTGAATCCTTTTTTCAACTACAAGGTATCAGTCTGGAAAAAACATTCACTGAACAGTCAGCTGAACTCATCAGCTGCAAACAGTGGACTGTGGGAGATGGTTTTGAAAGATACCTGACGGCCGAAGCAGCTCGGTATATACACTTCGACTCACATTTGAAAACATGATGCTCCGACTGATTTTCAGACTGATGCAATCTCTAAGGGTGCCTGTCCACACCACGATGTACGCGGCCTCACCCAATACGCTGTCTTTGAAAAAAATCTGCGTAAACACGGCGTCGTTTCCAGAAATATCTGCGTCCACACGGCTTCACTGACCCAAAACGCCTGTAGTGCAAGATGCCGAAAAAACGAAAAAGAAGCCACGATCCGATGCGTATTAAAGGTGACGCGCTGTGCACACGCCTGTAGTTCCGCTCTGTTGTTGTTGTTGTTGTTATGACGACGATTCTTAGCGGCGGCGGCTGAGGTCAAAGGCTAGAGACGGACGGTGCTAATACGTCATCGTTTTCTGACCTCGCCTTTTTTCACACCTCGAATAAATCCGTCTGGACGCGAGGCCGAAACGATGACGTATTTATGCGGATTCGACAAAAACGTACTCGTGTGGACGGCCCCTAAGTTTAGTCAGTAAAAACCCTGTGAGCCATTCAGTATCACAATGAGCGTTTACAACCTGGAACTGCTGAGAGCACACAGCCTGAAGTGCAAATAATTTAGCAGTAGTAGCACCTTATTCATTTACCTAAATTCACATTTTAGTTGGTTAACTGATTTATTATCCAAAGAGTTGAGTATTTTGTACTATTGGCTGTAAAGTACTCAAGACAGAATTGCTTAGATGTATTTGAGTATTAAAAAATGCCTTGTCATTCTGTAATTCTGCTACCATCATCGTCAGTGTGCCAAAAAGCATACAGCAGCCTGATACCCGACCTTATGGAGTAGCCAACAGCACAGTGTTTAGTTCAGAGTGAAGTCCCAAATGCAGGGAAGCATCTTCCTTTGACGCCTCTATGGTGGCCTGAAGGTGGCAGAAAATAAAACAGTATTATGTTGGTTTTTCTTATTTTGATTACATTTGTAGCTATCAAACTAACTCAACTGAATTGTCTGAGTGATTATTACTAATTTTTCATTTTAGGCAGGACAAAAGTTAGCCCTCTGTTAGTATTCTCTTTGTTGGTGAGCCAAAACGTTTATTTTGGATCCGGCTTATACTGCGTTGTGTTTGTTCTCATATCTCACTCACTCTCTTTCCTTCTGTTTGGACTCAAAACATCTTTTGTGCCTCCAACAAGTCAAACCCCTTCTCTTTTCTTTGTTTATGCCGGGACACTTTACATGTTGCAGTTTCTGCACCAACAGAATTAGAACAGGTAAATAATCTGGGATCAATGCACAAACACATGACGTGCACAGCAATTTACCCTGGTGATATTGGTGCGAAAGAGCTCGTCACTGAATAGATTTCTTCACACAGCAACAATACTGTATGTGCCTTTCCGTGTGTGGCTGCACACCGCACACACAACCTGTGTTGATCCGTCTGGAAGCAGGGTGAGTGCGGAAACATGGCTGCACTAATTTGCAAGCTAAATAAGAGGCAGAGAGTTTCCAGGAAGGAAGGGGTGGAGGAAGAGATGGCATGGGAAGAGTGGAGACCGGAGGAGAGACAGTAGGACGAGAGTGAGTTAGTAAATGCTCCTGTGTGCTTTTACCTTCCTGTGTGACACAGAGCTCATGTTTCTAAACAGTTTATATATTTCACTGACATGGAAATAGACAAATCCTCAACACAAACAGCAAACGTGGCCTTTAGGAAAATATCACAGAGAGAAACGGACTTGATTTCAGTTCAGAGTACAGATTAAATAATTAGTCAATCAGTTGGTCAGCAGAAAATGTATCCACAGTTATTGTTACAAGCAAAACATGCACCATATTTAAAAAATGTATATATACAGTAGTAGTGGGTAAAGTGGACAGACATAAGCAGGCTCAGTAATAGAGGAAAAACATAAATGTGAAATGAAATGTGAAAGTGGATGAGTTTTTGTTGTCAGCAGCTCTGATGTTCATTAATCCTCCGCGTAGAGAAACAGAGAGCCACTTCAGTTATCAGACAAATGGGTTGTGCTACATTTATCAGTGATTTCCCGGCGCCAGCATGTTTCTTAGACTCACAGTAAGTTTGTGACCACAGGCTCTGTGACTTCCTCTCTTCCTTCTCTGCCTGCTTTATTTGTCATTCATCTGGTTCCCTCTTTATCTGGCATTACCTTTCACTGCCCCCTTTTTCTTTTCCTTTGTTCTCTTTCTTCCCCTTTGCTTCATTCTCTCCTTTGCTCCTCTCAATATTTAATGGGCAGTTAGTGTATATCAAATAGATAATATGAATAATAGAGTAGATCATGGGAGGATAATAGAACCGAGGGATTGAAAGTAACGAAACAGTGAAGTTGTGTTTTGTACTTTTCTAGGTAAGCGTTTTGTTTCTGTTGATTGTTTGCCTTCACACTTTGCATGCCCTCTGCCACGATGGTGCCACTGTGTTTTCAATGCTTGTTTTGATACAGGCTTGGGTTTGCCCTGTGGTTGTGGTGGGATCGAACGCCCCCGTCCAAAAAATGAGCGGTGCGAGGACCGCCACACTAACTGTTGGTCAGATTGATCAAGGATCACTGTAACTATTGTTCTAAACTCAATTCGTTATTATTTTCCTCCTTCTTCCTCCAGTGTAGACTCCATACTGGGTTACTACTAATAAGATCCACCACTTGCTAACACTGACAAACTCTACCAACACTAGTTACTAACAGTGGTTCCTGTTTAAAGCCAACATACAGAGTCTGTACTCTCTCAAACAACAATATCAGATTATTCTCAGCGTTGGTTTCTCCTGCTTGGAGTGCCAGTTGGGTGGAGTTTGACACATCGTGAGAGACACCAGTGTGAGAAAGTTTAGATATAATAAATAATAAATAATAAATGTTGATATAATACAGTTAACTCCACCCATGTAGAGCAAATATGTATACTTGTATGTGGATTAGGGCTGCAGCTATCGAATATTTTGGTAATCGATTAATCGAGTAATCGGATAAAACATACTTTTGCTTAATTAAAGCCCAATTATAAATATACAATAGAAAACAAAGATCTTTTAAATAATTAAAAACCCAATTTGTTTTCCTTTTAAGAAAAAAATTACTATTTATGGTTATGTATACATATTGCGTTGCCAAAAGACAGTAGTAAACTGTTTTCAGTCAAAAATGTCCATTAAAATAAAAATTACAATTATCAATTTTCCTTTGACATAAAATTGAATAAATAATAAATAAAATTGTTTCCACACTTATTTTTTTCTTAAGTATCAAAAAATTAAATTAAAAAAATTTATTGTTAATGTGACCCTACGCCAAGCTCCATCTCTGCAAATGTCCACACACCTTATGACGTTGTCCTTAATTTTTAATTTAAAAATAGATCCCCCACCAACCTTTCGACATCTTCTGTCTCTTCTCTTGTTACTTTTCGCTTTGGCTGCGTTTGCTCATTTTCACCGGCTTGCATTTCCAAAAAACTTGCTAGTAACGCCACTTACATTCTCAGGGTAACAGTAACCGGCGCTGCCAACGATGGAAAAAACAGTAATTAATTAGATTTACTCCGTTACTGGAAAAAATAACGCCGTTGACTTACTTAAAACGCGCTTAACTTCCCGAACCCAACTTTGTTTTTAGGGATGCACGTTGTGTCACACTTAAAAGAAAGGAATCCGCTGTAAAACGCTGGAAAGCTTTAACTTTAAATTAAAAACGAGCGCTTTCGCAGGCAGAGGAAAAAAATTTTTTAATTATTTTGTAATCGGATGAATTTAACTGCGACTTAGATTACTCCGTTACTGAAAAATAACGCCGTTTTTATACTTAAACGGCCGTTACTCCCAACACTGTAGGGAGAGTGCACGTTGCTCACACTAAAAAGAATCCGTGCTAAACGTGAGGCTTTAACTTTAATAAACGGGCTTCGAGGCCCAGAGGAAATTAATTTTTTGTAAATCGAGTTAACTCGATGGGGGAATCGTTGCAGCCCTACTGTTGATAACATAAATTAGGCATTGACAATGATTTCTTTGTAGTAAACAATAATCCCTTTCTGACTTTCTTGTAGCAACTAGTGTTCAGAGTTCATAACAATCTTACATTTGCTAGAATCAAACAGGATGTAATAAACAATCATAGATGTTCTATCTCTAAGTGCACTCAAGTGTCATTTTCAACACACCCTCATTTGTGTCTTGTTTGGGTCGGAGAATACTGCGTTTTTTTAAGAAGATACATTTGATAAGCAGATGATTTAAACCCCCGCTGATTCTTACTTGTGCAGGATGTGTTGACGTCTTGTTCTTGTACGTGCATGTTCATTTACTTATTCCCTATTTTATTTTATTACTTTATTTGGCGGAGATAATGTTAATTGATTAACAGAAAAGAATAATTGTAAGTGAGCTGTAAGTGAGTACATGGCTCCAGGTCTGAACAGTTTAAAAAGGGGAGTGAAAACTCTAAAAGTTGACCAGTTTCTGTTGTTCTTTGTTGGTCTAATCCAGGATAAAGATGCTGCATCATTTTATTTGACCTTTTTGTGAACATATTCATGCAAGTCTAGTATGCTTGTACCTGGTCACTTTATGTATCTGCTTTAATCTGTACACATTTTAAAAAACAGCAGTTTAAACAAAAACAAAAACAAATCAAATGCATTTTATTTTTTTATTAATTGTAATAATGTAAAATGAATTCACACCTTCTGTGTTGATATTTCCAGACATTATTAACAAGACACATATTGTAAAATGATTTCAACACATAATAAAGTAGCTTACAACCAAAAATATAGTTATAACACGACTGTCAGGTTTTGTGTTGAACAAATGTCCCAAACACGATCAACTAGTGTATCGGAAATGACACAGTTTCTTAAAGTGGAGTGCGTGCATGACACTGTTTTATGGAAATAACATATCATCCCTCTGGACATCTATACATCGTTATTTATAGGCTAATCTTATTGGAATTGTGTTTGTGTGTCTAATTTCTCTTTGCTGTCAGACGAGACCATGGTCATCAACGTCTTCTGTGGCGTCGTGTCTGGAGTCCTGTCCTCCTCCCTGGCCAACCCCACTGACGTCCTCAAGGTGATTCTTAAAATGAATCTTTATACCCGAGTTCACACACTGAGTGAAAATTTGCGGCAAAAATGTTTGACCTTGTTTGTTTGTTTTTCTTTTGTGTGTCCCTTTTTTTTTGTTCCAGATCAGAATGCAAGCGCAGGGCAGTTTGCTCCAAGGCAGCATGATGGCCAACTTCATCAACATCTACCAGACAGAGGGCACCAGAGGGCTGTGGAGAGTGAGTATAGGGGATGTATGTGCGTTATGTATGTGGATACTGTGTTCCAGGATGTCTTTTTATGAATTTTTATTGTTCATCGTGGCTCAAAATGTCAAAATAGGAAATGTAACACTTGATTCTAAGCATGTGTTGAAAGTGCAACCGCAGTGGATCCAATTGTTTTTTCAGTAGTTTAATATATGTTAAAGACCAGCTGGTGAGCATTTAGCAGCTGAAGAGCCAGATATTTCCATAAGGAGTTGGTACGAACGTGACAAAACACGCTCGGAGCCGTCTACCAAGGAGACGCTGAGTCATACTTGCGGCCACCCATTGCATCAGCGAAAACATTCATTGATCACGTTGCCTCCGTTAACAAATATGTATCGCTCCACGCCTCTTCATCGCTCAGGAAGGTCTGGAAGCACATAAGAATGGACACCTTCCAAAAGCTCAAAAATGGTCTCATCTACATGTTGTATCTTAGGTAGTAATATGGGTTTGTACTGTGATAGTGTTCAGACGTATCAGACGTATTTTCTTCTTCCTCCTCCTCAGGGCGTCATCCCCACTGCGCAGCGAGCAGCCATTGTCGTCGGGGTGGAACTTCCTGTCTATGACATAACGAAGAAGCACCTGCTTCGATCTGGCGTCATGGGCGACACCATTTTGACACATTTCATGTAAGTTTATATGTTCTTCTTTCAGGTCAAGGGTGGTAATCCCGTGTGATCATACAGAATGTTTTAAGGTAGTATTTTTGCAGTGATGAACACTTTTGAATGCAGCTCATCAGCTTTGGTCTGATCTGTTAACCTTGTCCTGTGTCTGGATGTGTGTGCAGCTCAAGTTTCACGTGTGGCTTGGCGGGGGCGCTGGCATCCAACCCTGTAGACGTGGTCCGGACCCGTATGATGAACCAGCGAGTTTTGTCAGGAGGCCCTCTGTACAAAGGAACACTGGACGGAGTGATGCAGACGTGGAAGAATGAGGGCTTCTTCGCTCTCTATAAGGGATTCTGGCCTAACTGGCTGCGACTGGGGCCTTGGAACATCATTGTATCCTTTAAAAACCTTTAAAAGTTCCTTCACAGGTGGGAGAGACAAAGAAATCAGACTTTTTATCATCTAGTTCTTGAAGAAATTTGCGGAATTCCATAAAAAGCATATAATTGGGTATGACATGTTTGATTTCTCCTGAGATTCTGAACACCAGACTGTTTATACTTTGAAATTCAGATTTTTTTTGTCTGTATCACTTTAGAGTTGGGTGATATGAAGATATATCCCACGAGACAGTAGAAACATCGATCAAACAGGTTAACAGCAGGCGAGCTGCGTTTGAAGGAGGCTCGTTAATGACTGAGCATAATGATCGAAAACAACAGGGTAACATCGGCAACAGCTGATGTGTTCACT